ATTCTAATTGGCTTCGGTAAATTTCTGATTTATCCTCATTTATATTAACATTGCTTTGATTTATTATTATCTTCAATATAAAAATAATGAAAAATTTAATAAGAAATGATAGCTATACGTACTTATTTATTTAAATGGATATTATTTCGATCGAATATAAAGTGTAGTATATGAATTACGAAGATATTGAAAAATTTAATTGCCAAGCCCGTCTAGTCATAATGCATTTATTATAATTTCTGCAAACAGCAATAAGTTATGTTAAATAAGCTTATATAACAGTCTATTGCATTTGTACTTTCCAATAAAGAAAAAAGAAAAATGATAGTAAATAATAGACGAATAACGTAATCTCTACGTCTAATTAAATCCTATACTCTTACTACTGAAAACTTCATTTGTAAAATTACGAGTAGTACATACCGCTATACGAGGCTATCGAATAAACTCGTGTAAGCAAATGGTAATATAGCTAACGATACTGAAGTAGCTCAATTAGCTTTTTTAGCGATGACCTATCATTGCAATTCAAGGGAAAGAGTCTGCAATACTCTCTTTTCGAACATAAATCCTTCTATGTGAGTCGTTCGGCGTTTAAGGAGCAGATACGGGATATGATCGATATGAATGAAAGAAAACTGGTATAGATCAAGTTCAAACATCCCGGATCCGACCTTCATTGCGGCGCACGCGGACACCACTTTCTAGTGTGACCCTGCAACTCTCACGGGCCAATGGATCACGCTTCTTGTCATTTTCATTTCGTTTCTTCTTACCGGAAGTGTAAAGCAGTACAATGCGACAATCAAGAAAATCTTCGCATTCGGTAAGCGTATATGTGCGGCGTTAAATTACGAGAAAGTAAAACCAATGGTCTATATAGGACTAGATCTATAAGATTGTAAGGTTATCAATGCGAGGATGCATACTTCCATGCTAATCAAAATTTCCAATTTGCGGAAATATAATTAAAAATATATGTAAAATATAAAATGTTTATTTACACCTTGGAAAGACAGCAATTTAAAACAGGAATTAGACTTTTTTTTACTTAGAAAGTATTATATTAGACGTTTTCTATAGAAAGTGCGTTCTCTCTCTCCTCTGTTTCTCTCTCTCTCTCTCTCTCTCTCTCTCTCTCTCTCTCTCTCTACTTTTTTTATCTTTAAATCAGTTAAAGACATGTGACTTAGAACTGAGATGAGAAACACGTTCCACATATTTTTATAGTAAACGACATAATATTATGGAGAAGATAAACATCATCCGATTATAAATTTGCAAAACTTTCTAACAGTGATTTTTTATCTGTTAACATTACACATTACAATTATTACTTTTCTTTATCATTTACATATTCGATAAAACGAGATTATAAGATGGAAGAGAGGAAGTGAAAAAATTGCATTTATTGTACATTGTACATTTTACGTCCGTTCTCTACCATTACTAAAGATCGCACGAGTCTCTCTGTTAATTTATGTACATAATCACTACGGAGTAAAGAAGGAGCACTCTCATCTTGAATTCGGTCAACAAATTCTCTCGTCATAAGAAGGGATTCAATGAAAAGCAAGTACAACAACAACACAGTTCCCATTCCCGATCTTACGTCAATGCTCATTCATCCTTTCTCGGTCATTGGGTAGCACTCAGAATCCTTTCGTCAATCCTTCACTCCCAACAGAAAAGCAGCCTTAAAAAGTAAAACCAAAGTTTCTCCTGTACAACGACAGCAATGATCGTTAAACCACAGGCACGCCCATCGCGGTAAAATCACTATCCTTTACGCGGGAATATAACGTTGTAGATGCGATGTGTATGATTTCGTTCAGTGAAATGCAGATTGAGAACGGATATTTCAATTAAACAGATTACAATAACTCTCGCTCTTATCACACAAATTTATTAAAGCGATTATTAT